AGGCCTTTTCTGTGTTAGAGTTTTACTCGCTACAGGGTGTACTTTGAGGGTTTGTGACTCTGCAGACCGTTTACATGCAGAAACCTGTAAGTTTAAAAAAGAAAAACCAACAAAGCGAGTGTTTGCTCAAAAACACATATGGGAGTTGTATTTTAGGGGCATCAGTTTCAGCCCTTAAAATAAAACTAACTTTTATAACTAACTGGTTTAAATTAGTTAACGGCTCTAGTGTATATTGCATTTTTGCGAATATCATAACATTCAAATAAACAATTAAAGGAAAGCTTTAAACCCAAAACCAAAAGTAAGGTAAGTAAGTAAAATAGAAAAAATCTGCTGTTGTACCGGCACGAGTTTTAAAGGGACCCTATAATGGTACTTTCCAGGTTTACATTAGTATGTTGTGCCTCTACTGTGACACGTTTCCATGCTTTAATGGCAGATGTTTGACTCATTACAGCTGATATCTATGTAAACACATGTAGGTAAATGAGTCGAATAAGTAAAAGGTTTGAAACCGGCTGATAGCTGCAAGGATTTAAACCTTACATTTAAGGAAGAGGTGAAGCACTACTTCTTTAAAATGCTTCCTACTGGTCATTGCATGAAAAAAATATTGGTTAAAAATAAAATGCCAGCACAATGCAGAAGTACTAGAAATGAGTGGAAGTTGTAATAAACGGTCACCACCTATTCCTTTTCTCACAGTTATGTGTCAGAGGGAGTTGTCTCAAGACTTAATGTTCCTTATGTTCAGAGGGAGAAGATCAAGTTACTTTCCTACAGATTTCATGTTATCCGAGAAGATATTAGATATATAATTTCACACCCTTTTATGTTCTCATTATGTTATCTTTATTTTCCCCTTATCTTCCTTTCACAGTGAAATGACCCAGATCTCCGGTGATAAAAACACAGACGGTTGATAAAGCTGCGCTCGACACTATCCCCATTTCCTCCCCTTGTTTTTGAACTATTTAAAAGGGGGATGCCCTATTCCCCCATCTGTTGCGGATAGACTATGACATTTCAAAAACGATTAACATTTAAATGTCAAAATAACCGAATATCTACAAAATGTTCAAACCTCAGGAGGGATTTTTTTTGTTTTGAATGATCTGAAAAAAGTTATGTTTTTCCTTTTTGAGATGAGTAACAAGAATCTCTGCAAAACGGTTGTGTTCAAACAGCATATAAACACAATTATAAATGTGAAATATAGAAATAAATCATCTAATCTAGGTAACACAATATGTTCATCTAATCTAGGTAACACTTCGGATTCATTTCTTAAATGTGAAAACAGTGAACTTCATGAGGAATGCAGACAAGAGAGTAACTTGCAGAGATAATGTGTGTGTTTGAGGAATAGTTTCGGCGAAAACTAAAAGGTACCATGGGGTCAGATTTGAATTTTCCAAAGGGGGGTTCGTTTAGCATGACACATTTAAAATAACTAAAGGACAAGTTAAACAAGAAAGTAGAAAGAAAGGGAGGTGATTGAAAACTATTTATGTTAAAAAGTTAGCAATGATTGCGTCAGACCTAAAGATTTCAGATGTGTGTAACTCACGCTGCACTGTAACTTTAATTCATGTATCTTTTCTTTTAAATGAGTTTTTTTAAATGTGAATTCATAATATGTTTCTTAATGCTCTTAATGACTTTCACTTTTGTAAAGCACTTTGAATTGCCTTGTGTTGAAATGTGCTATATAACTAAACTTGCCTTGTTCTATTTTAACTTGTTGAATTACATATATTCATAGTTGTACAATGAGCTAAATAGGAACTTTCCTTTTGACACTTAATTGTGACAATNAAAAGCGATTTTTGGTCGGGCCATGCTGTACATGTAATAAATACTACAATCACTTAAAAACACATTACTACATTCATAATAAAAGACAATAAATTACAACAGATATATAGAAAACACAGGGAAAAGTCAGGAGTCATTCTCCGCTCTGACTAGAAGGCCAGGGAGAAGAAGTGTATTTTAAAGGTAGATTTAAAAACCCCTAGGGTCTGGGCCGACATGGAGGGGCAGAGTGTTCCAGAGCCTGGGGCCAGCTGCTGCGAAGGCTCGATGCCCTCGGGTTTTGAGCCTGGTCTTGGGCACTATCAGTAACAGCTGGTCAGCCGACCTTAAAGCTCTGGCTGGGGTGTAGCGATGGAGGAGTTCGGCTATATAGGCCAGAGCCAGCCCATTTAGGGCTTTAAAAACTAATAAAAAAGGAGTTTAAAATCAATTCTGAACTGAATTGGAAGCCAGTGCAGTGAGGCCAGAATTGGGGTGATGTGGTCACGCTTGTAGCCAGTCAGAAGACGTGCAGCTGCGTTTTGGACTAGCTGCAGGCGTCTAATTGACACCCGGTCCATACCCACATACAGAGCGTTGCAGTAATCCAGCCTTGAGGTAACAAAGGCATTAATAACCCTTTCTAGTTCTTTAAAAGATAAATACGACTGTCTTGGCCAATAGTCGTATTTTTAAAAAGCAGGTTTTGACTACGGTGCTGACCTGCTTATCAAATGTAAAAGCGCTATTGAAGGTCACTCCAAGGTTCAGAGGGGAGGATGTTTTTATTGAGGGAGCCCAGAATATCAACCGGAGAAGCTGGCGTTTAAGGGAACAAATGGGCCGAAGAGGTTTTTGCATTTCTGTGTTGGTGTTAATATTAGGGAAATGCTACATAACCATGTTCATCTAAATATTAAGGAGACAAACACTTACCAGAGGGACTTGTGTCAATGCTTTGCACAAACTAAACTAAATATGTGTTGGATTGTTGGCTGAACAAAGCAAGTCATTAAATAACGGGCCTTGGGATATGTTTATTCATGATCATTTACTATCAGAAGTTTAACCCATTATGTATCAATGATGCATTTTATCAATGGTTACAGCTGCTATCTGGTGTCACACAGATATGACTTAGTACTGCAGTGAAGATTTTAAGCCATTTAATAGAAAACCATTGATGCTCACAGACAAATCACCATTTGGCTTGTTCTTATACACAAACTCCACTCATGATATTCGCTTTTATTAGCCATGTGCTTTATTGTGTTCAACATGATTATCCCCAAAGTTCTTGTAATAACAATGCAAACCAGAACCAATGCATGTTAATTCATGTTCAGTGGCCTTGCAAGTGTTTTTATTTCAGATCAGAAGAGTATAACGCAAACTTAGAGCTAGGTAAGTGGAAGTGGCTCACACTGAAACTACTCGATGATTGATGGCTGCTTTATTCTTTTCCTGTCAGCATCAGTTCAGAAAAACCCCAAAGTAACAGCAAGTTGTGGTGTTAGGCGGTGGCTGAGTGAAAAGTGGCACACATTTAACAGACACGTTTTTGACTAAATATGGAGCCTGCGGGGATCCCTGGGCAATTTCTCCGCGAGATTAATTAATTCAGGTCATCATTAAACACAGCAGTTGTCATCAACAGGTTAAATTCAGACTAAAGGCAAAGACATTTACTGTTACTGCATCAAAGAGGAAGTTCCTGGATTTGACTTTCACATATTGGCCACATTTAACTTCTGATATCTCACCAGGAAGTGGGCGAGATAGCTATCAACCTGTTCATTTAATTGTACGACCCAATTGTATCAAAGTATGATAATAAATCACACGCAAATAATTTAGTGTTTAGCCTGTGGGTTGTCAGTGTACCAAGCTTATTAACAATGTTAGTAGCTATTCAGTTAGCTACGTTAACATACGTCGTAATGGCAAATGTGAGAAAATAAAATCGGACTTAATTCAACGTTATCGCTAAATGTAATACGTAGAAACCTCCTGTTATTAACAAAGTAACATTTAGTCCCGTATTAAGTTTATCCAACGTAAGGATACCTTAACTTACTTGACGACAATGCTAGCCAAAACTGAAGCTAACAAAATGCCTGCTACAATGTGCAAATGTTGTAGTTTTTTTTTAAATGCTGCTACTTACCAGTTCGTACTGGATTTTTCGTCCACCACTTCCTTAAATGCAGCTGTTAATGCAGTGCCGTTTTTGCTAAGGTTAACTGCCATCGTTGTGTTTAGTACAGCTAGCCAGCTAGCTATCTATCCGGGATGCGCCCTTCCTATTGGGAGGAGCGGCGTGATGCTGCCTTTCAGCTGGGCAGGAAGCTAGGTCAGATAGCAGCTAACCACAGCCACGGTGCACTGCATTTATTATAGCGTGACACACCGAAAAGTCGGAGATAGTTTGCGGTTTTTTATTATTCTAATATTGGGTTTAAATATATGTAATTCAAATTGCCAATAGTTATTGAAATTTAGAAAATTCCCTAATTCAGGATGTTTGATCAAATAAAAAATAGTCCTGCGCAGAGATTGTGTTGTAAGCACCGCACTAACCTCGCATGAGGTTTTTATGAATGAAACGCACCCTAGACCTAGTTTCACAGGTAAACCGCGTTTACAGCATTTTTAAGTTAGGTAAAGAGTTGCTTTCAACTGTCATTGCGCTGCGGACGCTGCTTTAAGAAAGGGAGACATTTTCTTCCAGCCTAGCAAAAGTCCCTTTGCCATGCTGGGAATCAAACCACCAACCCTCTGACTCTAATCATCCACTTACCCTTTGCATCCTGGACATCTATCGCGATAATTTTACCGTCTGGGGTTCTACGTATATTATGGGTTTACACCATGTCTTACAGATACAGAAATGAATAAATATATACATTTAAATGAAAATAAATGCATTAAAGATATGTAATAATGCGTGTTCTGTTTTATTCTGAACTTTAATTTTTTTAGTTATACATTTATTTGTTATTGTATTAATTCCTTTATGTATTCCTTGAATCTCTATCTTTGCATGTTTCAATTTATGTTATTAATTTGTTATTTTTTAAATATAATAATTTATTTTCATGGTGACTTTGCAAGACCTGTCCACGGTGCATCAACAGCCGTTTATATGTATGTGGACTGTCCCTGTTCAATAAACTAATAATACAAATACAACCTTTACACAACTTTCTCTGCTTATAATGTATAAACAGTAATTCGGTTTATTTAGAAGCATTTGCTCCTCATTTTATACCATCAATGGACACAGGGTTCTGGCTCATGGCATACTGCTTTGTTAGACATCGTGAAGACAAAAAAGTTACTGCAGACAACGGTAAACCAAGATGAGCTTTATTCATATGTTATGAGAAGATCAATAGTTATCTTGTGTAGGCTATGTGAGGGCAAGTGGACAATCATGGTGGCGTTTCAAGCACACATATTCCAAATTGTAAGATGCATGAAGACTGATCCTGCATTCAGAAAAAGCCAGGCTAAATTTTCAAAAACAAAAACATTGGTAGTGTTCAAGCAAGTTTCCATGTCTACTGATGAAACGCATCGCCCATTTGGGGGAAAACAGCCCTGATAGCAAATGTACAGATTATGACAATGTTCTCTCTATATATCTACAAAATGAGTGTTAAGGCTAAAATTTTAGTCAGAGGTGTTAGGCAGATGAATCGTAACGAAATCCCTGATATCTGGCAAATGGCTGTGAGAAGGTTCTCCAGAGTGCAAAGCATGCCAAGCTGCCTATATAAACTCTATTGAGCACACTGGACCGAAGGAGTTAATGTCACGCCACTCACAGGATGAATTGAAGCTGCATTCAATCATAAAGTTGGAAGATACTCTGCTTTCAAATAAATAAATAGCCAAATGAACAAACAACACACACACCGTAGTACTATAATCAAGTCATTTTCAATTGTGGACTGACAGCAAAAGACTGCATCAGAGGGTTTTCAAAACATATTAGTTTTTACTGTATTTAAAAAGGACAACTTGTTTCGACCATTTTCTCAACATCAGCAAACATTCATGAAAATCTATATTTGGCGCCTAAACCATGGGGGTAATTCTAAAATCAAAGCCTTTAAAATGTCCATGCTTTAGTATTGGCCTTTCTGGATAAACACACTCGATAATGGCTAAAAAGCTAAATTTATTCCCCGTTATGTCAAATAATTCCCTTTATGTTGGCAGCATCAGCACATTATGAGCCATGTTGAAAAGAAAGAAAAATATCATAGCATTTCTTTACTACTTTATCCAACAGTTACAATGGATTATATTTAAACCGATATTACATAATGACACATCACAATCTTGTTAAATTCTGGTGACATGAATGAAAAATAAAATGCCTATCACTAAAGCTTTCAATACAATAGGTCACAAATGTATCACAGAGACAAACTGTTTTACTGTCAGTGTGTATGATTAATCCCAAAACAAACCTTTGCAGACCCGAATATGAACATAAAGAAATGATGACAAACTTCACATCACTTGATATGTAAAGCAGATGAAATTCTCATGGCAACGGTATTAATTCACCTCAAGTAACACGATTCACCTGACTTGATATTACCATGTTCTGAAGCCAGCTGTAGCCAAAGGCCATTTCATTTTAGAAGAACAGTAATATGTAAAAGCTCTTCACATCCGAGTGTTATTCAAAAATAAATGGAGATGGTAATGCAAAGAACTTGCGAGATGGTAAAATAAAAATCGCTCTGACCAAATGACCGTACTTCTAGGACAGCTTATTTGTGTGCACACACCATCAGGGTAAATGTGCATGAAGAACTTCAGGAGTGCTGATCTGTCTTTGATCATGTTGCCTCTTTAGGAAGTGAATTTTTAAGAAGCCTGCTCATTTTTCTCACCATGGGTCACTGCATGTGAAGGCTGATGTTTTGATTAGATACCTGAGTAACTGTACTGAGGAGGTGGCACACATTCAGCTAGATGCCAAAGAGTAGCCATGTTCATAGCTACACAAGTAATAAGTCAAACAGTAGTATTTTTTGCACTATGGACACCAGCCATGGGTGGTTACTTAATTGGAGTATAAGTGCAATGACAGCATGTGTGAGAAAAATGGAGGTAGACATTTGCCCTATGGAGCACAACTGAAGTGAGGCAAGGGCCAGCTGGCTGTTAACCGCAGCTCTCCAATGTCCTCAAACGCACTTAAATACTGTCGCTATTTAAATGCAGTGAGTGATAAGAGACTGATCCTTCTTTACACCTTTCACATTGTTTGGGGGTAGAGACAGCATGTGCCAACAGATCGGCTGCTGGTAATGGCACTGCACCACTTCGTGTTGAACAGGGAACATTCTGCCTCAATTGCACATAAACCGAAAATAAAAACACAGAAAGGCCACTAAATACATGGAAACACAGTAATAACAAGACATCCAGTGGGACATAGACAAGTACCTCTGAAATAAAAGGAGAGCCAATCTCCGAAATAAATGTTTGCTTTCCGAGTAGCATAATGATATGACTCATTGAGGGAGAAAATGATGCGAATGAATAGCAAAGATGAAGGTGATAATCACGAAAGCAGGAGTAACAGTTTAAAGTCTGAGTGTGGCGGTATGGACTGTGAAGAGTATTTCCGGTATTCCATATGGGAGTGCTTTAAGGAGCCTGTCAGGTCCTGCTCAGCAGATCCATACAAGTCATGAAGGACAGCACATGGTAGCAGCTCAGCACATGGAAAGCCAGGTGGCACTGTACCTCATTGTATCGCTTCCTCCTCCAAAAGATGTTGTCTAGTTTAGTTTTTTCCCCCCTCTGTCGCTCATTTGCCTCAAGTTACAAATCAAACGTGTTTATTTTGTTCTCATTTGTATTTTGATCTCCCTGGCCTTCTCACATTGCGTACTTATGTGTCCATTCTCTCGCTGATTTGTTGTACCTGTAAGACAAAGGCAAAGCTTGTAAGAGGTTTCAGGTGAACATAAAAAATGAAGTATTTATCTCCACACAGTAGCACGACAGGGAGCAAATCTGATCAATGTTTTACACTCACTTTTCCCTGTCAGCCTTGTATGTATGGGCGATCTCTGGCACCAGTGGGTCGTCAGGGTTTGGATCACAGAGAAGAGAGCAGATAGACAATAATACTGTGGAAGAATGGATAAGGGAGAAATTAGATGACATTAACAAAAACTGGGGATTTATTGGCACTAAGTAGTTGAGCAGCGTTTGACGTCTTTACATAATCCCCACAGTAGGGCCGATATATTAATATATACAATGGGGCAAAAAAGTATTTAGTCAGCCACCAATTGTGCAAGTTCTCCCACTTAAAAAGTTGAGAGGCCTGTAATTTTCATCCTAGGTATACCTCAACTATGAGAGACAAAATGAGAAAAAAAATAAAAAAAAATGTAAAAAAAAAAAATCCAGAAAATCATATTGTCTGATTTTTAAAGAATTTATTTGCAAATTATGGTGGAAAATAAGTATTTGGTCAATAACAAAAGTTAGAGCAGTGATGTTTTGGGGCTGTCGCTAGGCAACACAGACTTTCAACTCCCTCCAAAGATTTTCTATGGGGTTGAGATCTGGAGACTGGCTAGGCCACTCCAGGACCTTGAAATGCTTCTTACGAAGCCACTCCTTCGTTGCCCGGGCGGTGTGTTTGGGATCATTGTCATGCTGAAAGACCCAGCCACGTTTCATCTTCAATGCCCTTGCTGATGGAAGGNGACATTAAAAGTAGGATCCATATGGAGTTGATACTCTCTGTTTACTCTTTTTTTACTCTTTTTTTTACATTTTTTTTTTTTAGGTCTTTTAGTATAACAGACTAAAAATTTCTTAAATAAACGTTTAATACCACCTTTTATTCATAAACCAGTTATTGTTTTCAATCTCGTCACTACAAAACCCCGACAGCGATCCGTTGTGTCTGAAAGTTGAGGGAGGTTTCTAAAAGATACCCCAACTCTAGACCTCTGACCGATCCGGTGAGGTCCTGGAACTTTACGAAGAATGCTTCCGGTGAGGACGGCTGGAGCTTTTCCTACGAAGAGATGCTTCGGTGATACACGGTGTCGGTGCTAGACGTTACCCTAGTAACGGTTACGACTTCATCATGCGGGTCCGTACCGTACCTGGTAAGTAGAAGTTTGCCTAGTCGAACGGACCACGACTTCTCCAATGTCAGTTTAGAGTCTTTGTACCTTCAATAAGAGGGATATGGTGCACTACAGCATGGACCCAGGAGCAAGACGTCATTGTCGGGGTTGTACGTAAGAAGTGGGGGACACAGATCAACTATGTTATTGGCCACTCTTTTAGGCTTCAAAGGTGCCACATAGGCATAGTACTAGACGTCCACGACCCTGGAGCGATGTTTCCGAAGGATAGTCATTGATTTACTGCGATGGTCGTTTGATTAGGAGTCACGGCTCTGCACAGGAGGACGAATACGGTATACAGGGTCCGGGCAGACTCAAAGCGACTCAACGTAGATCTATACTGAGTGATATCTTCTAACCTCTCTTAACAGTATACATCTACTTTGTTACTTGAATAAACCATTTTTTGAGTTGATTGCACAAACTCCTCTTTCTACGACTACGTGGTTTTTGGGTAGTGCACTTTGTACCCCCACCTTTGTAGTACGAAACCCGCCAAAAAGACGTTTCCCCTGGTCCTGCTGACTAGGGCTACATTACCCTTTCTGATTTGACCCCGGTCGTAGTCACTCAAAACTCACTATTGGGCAAGTAGCTCCCAAACTTCTAACTGCACCGACCCAGAAAGCGTACCTGTTACTAGGTTTGTGCGCCCGGCCGTTGCTCTCCTCACAAGATTCTCTAAGTTGCACCAGACCTCACCATCGTCAGAGGTCTAGAGTTGGTATCTTTTTAGAGACACCTCCCCACTTCAGAACCCACGGGTCGCCGTGGGTCGTAGTGACGAGTTGAAAACAAATTAACTGGTTTAGACATAACAGGTGGATTAAACGTTATTTGGCCTCTCTCATCTTTTTAAGTGGGAGAACTTGCACAATTGGTGGCTGACTAAATACTTTTTTGCCCCACTGTACATGACCAAATAGCATAACCTCATTTTAGACATGGCTTTATTTGCCCTGACGGTCTCATGTTACATTTATAAATTGCCACTTATAGTCATTGACCCGATTTGACATTTTAAACACTTGTGAAACTTGAGCTTCATGGTTATAGACTGGCCTTGAACATTTTCAAATAAGATGTATCCAAATCCCCAGATGCACATGATAAAAACCTGTTATGAATAGGAAAAGCAGCAAACAGAGTAAAGAATGAGTTATGTTATAAAAAGTCAGTGCTCTTAGGGATGTTGCAACAAATTACATTTTTGGAAATATAGATGAACAGCATTTTGGCACTGGGGCATAAGAGAAAACACAGTCACAGTATAAAAGAAAGTTAATCAAAGTTAGTGACACTTGGAAGTCTAGAAGAGGATCTACCCTAGGGTATGATTGTACCTAGAAATAAAATATGAAAAAATGACATCTTGTTATTCAAGTTTCATCATTAGGATTCCACTTGTCTCATGAAATTGCAGTGGTGTATTTGCAGCTTTTCTCCCTGAATCTGTGTAAGAACTCAAATGTGTGTTTTTGTATTTCTTTAAATGAAAAGGCTATATGTTTGCCAGTTATCGCCTCTTGGCTTAATGATGTGGAAACTTCAACGTCCTCTAAAGACCCTTCTTCAAATGGACATTTCGACTTGAAAAACCCAGGATTGGCTATTATCATATACAGTTTGTATCATATTAAGCTGCATTTAACAATGTTGTAATACATATCACGTACCTTTTGAAACTGTAAGTGCAGGTGACCATTGTGATCTCAGTATATCCAGACAAATACTTCCATTGCTGTTGATATTGGGATGGTAAATTTTTGTTGTGAATGCAACCTAGGAGAAAATGGAAAAATAATGTTATTTTCCAGTTAAGCCCATAACCTTTACCACAGTAATATTAATGAATAATAAGTGAGTTCATTTTTTTTTTTTTTCACAACTCACTTTGGGTGGTTTGAAGGGGTAATCTGTTGGGAAGTGAATGGTAAGGAAAAACACTCCGCTTTGATATGGACTGTCACTCTATAGAAGTAAAAATAGAAACAAATCAAATAAGTTGACAATGTTTTTGATATTTCAATCAAATTAGAATTTGGTCAAGAATCGGTTTCACTTACGGGACCCATTATTGTTGCCTGCCAATGAAATACTGGAGAAAAGATAGATAAAGCACTTAGAACATACGTTTGTAAGCAAATTCCTGACACAGAATCACATTCTCTAACAATGAGGTCATATTATGTTCAGGATCACACTGATGCAGCAATCTGCTAACTACTTACAATCCTCTCCAACTGGTCCAGCGGAGCATTGTGCAGGCGGGTCCCTCTGCAGGTCAGACAGCTCCTGAAGGCAACACAATCACATATAATACAATTGTGAATTTACTGTTCAGTTGCAGTCTGGTACAACAACTATACTTTTTGCAAAGAAATCACATAGATCTTAAAATGGTGGTTGCTTTACATTTATGTATGCTGGGAGACTAATGTCTGTGGAAACTAGTATTTTGGGCTGTTGACATGTGGTTTAAGTACATATGACATAGAGTATAAACATCAGTTACATTTACACCAGGAAGGTTATATACAAAAGTAACAATAGAAACGAAACAAATGTTCCTAATAAAATAAACAAGGCTAAGACATACACGTGTATGTTAAATTCCACTTATTATATCAACAACGAGCTCTTTTGCCAAACGCCACATCATACTATTCACCAAACGACGGGGAGAAAAACCACAGATGGTTAAAGAGAAATTAAGCCTGTTATTTAACGGGCTTTATTTATCTCTTAAAATGAACCCTATCTATTCAGTTATATAAATACACACCGCGGCCTGCTCCAATGGCCCATTTGCCACTCCATATATGGAAACAGTGACACTAGGGTTCAATTTTGGCAACATGCACGCATCTGTCATAAAGCTACTTAACACACCACTAGCCGTACCATTAGTGAGCAACCACAAAGATAAAGACACTGTCAGGTTAATAATTTAAAACCAAACCCTGTAACATTACACCTCAATCAATCAATCAAAGCAGAGAACAGTTAGCTTGCTGCTAGCCTAAATCTGCATTGCGAAACAACTTGTTTAGCGTATTAGATAACACTTACAACATATTCTGTATAATACATATACTGAAGTATTAATAATGTGCCAAGTGAATGAATTACAAATAAAACACAAACACGACGTAGCTGTCAGAATAATGGCGCTGTTTGGGTTGTTATCGATAGCTAACGGTAACGTAGCAATGCACCAACAGGGCCACCAGTGGTTAGTCTTTGTCCGTACATTATTTTAACATGGAGCAAAAAACAAGCGAGTCATGCTAAGGATATATTAAATATAATGCTGTACACTGCTACGATAGGAACAAAGGGTCACACAGTCAGAAAATAATGTAAAGTACTGTTAGCATTTTCAAAAAAATACACTCACCTTCTGAATTCGTTTCAACGCCATTGAATCAATGGCTAAAGCTTTGTAGCCTGTCAGCTAACAGCTAGCACTTCACACATACAATTTGGCTTCCGTGGCCGCGTACTTCCCAATCTCACTTAATGTTTATCAGAAAATCACGTCTGATTTAAAGCAGGCTTTGGGTTTGGGGTTTGCAGTTCAACCAAAGCGACAAATTGTGGGTTAAATATTGATCTTTCGTTCGCTTGCCACAGAGCAACCGAGATATTTAGCTGTCTCTTCTCTGATCTCGTTGCTCCTCTCGGTGCATGGCAAACCGTTTTTTTGTAATATCGCGAGACTTGTCGTACAAATCCTGAATTGACACTTCTGTTCTGTTCGTCGAAATCATAGGTCGAAATACAATTTAATTTAAATTATGACAGCTTGGACACGGTCCACTTCTCAAAATCAAATATGTATCACTTTGAATGATTAGGGCAGATCATTACAATGATCAATCTTTTTACAAAACAACTGCATGTGGCCACTTTTTGATTAAAATTACTGTTTAGCATTACTAATGCTATGAACCAAAACTCCAGAGTTCTCCTTATGTTTTCAGATTTCTTCCTATGTTTTGGCTGCGTCCACCAATTAGATGCTTTCGGTTTTCCACTTTATAACGTGCTTTCTTATATCAAAAGTTATTCATTATAAATACATTCAAAAATCACTAATGTAATCACTATCTGTATCATCAACATCACGGCACTAATACTAAAGAAATTAATTCGGTGTTTTAACAACAGGGTCATACATTGTTTCAAACCAATAGCCTATACAATGTATGACTTTGTGTAAGACACAATAACTGAGGCCAGGTGTCCACAAGATGTCACTATTTGAAAAGAGCAAAAACACACAAGAAAGAAAAGGGCAGAATTAAATGGATTATGTACAGCTTTGACCTGAAAACGCGTTAGCAAGATCTAAAGTGTCATTTATCAAAAATAAATGCTGCATGCTCAAAATAAATAAATTCATTTAAAAAGTGTGTCTGTAAATTAATTTGCTCAAGTGCAAAAGTGCAGGACAATGGAGCTGCAAAGTACAATACAGCCAAACAGATGTATTATTTACGAGTACATATGAATAAAGAAAAACAAGACTATAGAATTGTTCATTCAATACCCAATCATTGTAAAGGCATATTCATCTGAGTCAGCTGCGTGCTCCGGTTTCTGCACAGCCTTGTCTTGCAAAGCCTCATGAGCTTCCCTTTATATGTCTTAAACAAGAGTGAAAAAAGAGCTCTCATTATTTTAGTGAGTATGTATGAATGGACCGCAGTGTTCATTCTTCTTAAATGGCTGATTCAGTGTCAGGTTGAGGATCCTATCGTCAATGTGACACTGAGAGGGACCATTTTCCTTTGGAAAGCTGAAGATTCCTTCAGATAATATCTTATTGTTTGCTCATCTCTGTGCTCTCAATGACCTGCCTGTCCTCGGGGCCTGCCTGTAATCAGATTCAGCAGTAGAGGTAGCAGTTTGGTTCTTGTGCAGCAGGGGCCTTGTGTTCGGAGTTTGTCTACTTGGAGAGGCCATTTATCAGCATGAGGTTTTCAGACACAGTCAAGCCCACACTTTGTTGGCTTGAAGCCTCGGTTCACAAAGCCTCCCACAGTCATCCTACTGTAGCTTCCTCTGAAATCTCAAATCACATTGGTTTGCTTGCTACTGTGTACTTTAAAACCTACAAGGATTTTATAGTGGACAAATTGTGAGACCTCCACAGTAACGGGTGATGCTACCTTTAATCGTTCACAGAGGGGGAAGAAGTATTCAGATGCTTTACTTGGGTAAAAGTACCAATACATGTATGTCAAAATACTCTCTACAAGTTAAAGTCCAGCATTCAAACTCTTACTTAAGTAAAAATACTCTCAGCAAAAATGTACGTAACGTATAAAAAGTAATCATGTGCAGAATGTTTTTTCTTTGTGTGTGTATATAGTTATATTTATAAATGTGACATTTCTAGATATTATTCTTGCACCATGTAGCATTTGACTGTAGACAAACAAAGTTCTGAATTACTTTTTGTCAAATATTTATTTATGTTTTGTGACTTAAGGAGTAAGTCCTTTAGTTAGATTTTTAGAGATGCGTTTTGTTAAAAGTAATGGAGTAGAAGTATAGAGTAGCATAAAATGGAAATACTCAATTCAAGTTCTAGTACCTCTAACTTTCACTAAATGACAGTACTTTAGTAAATATACTTAGTTACTTCCCACCTCTGTTCCTTCACAGCATTAAGCAAGACATATTGTGGTTTCTATAAGGCAACATATCACTGATCTGTATGGGGAATTTCCCACCTATAAGATGAAGCTGAGTTTTTAGTTACAGGACTAGTGCCCCATGTTCCAGATTGATGTATGAACCAAGGTGTGAGCGTGTCAGGGCTGAGATGATATGGGTGGGGGTTGGAGATTAGTTGACCTGTCTCATGAGGAATATAGCCTTTAGTGCTGTTATTTGAAACCATGGACTCAACAGACTCCAGTGATCTGTCTTTTTGGTCTCATGAATCATCATTAGTTCCATTGTATAATAGAAAGCATTCCACTTATTTAGCCAATTATGCTAAAGCTGCCTCTGAGCTCGAGTATATTCCTCTCCATGGCATTTTTCCCATGGTTGGGATGACAAAGCACATATGCTCACTGTCATTTTCAAAATTAGCTTAAATGAATCTCGCTAATGTCTGAATTATCCAATAAAAGCAAAACCAATTAATGCCGAGCACAAGCTGGCTCTCAGTCCCCCAGAGGTGTTTTACCTTCGGTCAGCGTATTAGCTTTCTGAGGACTCTCTTATGGAACAAAGATCCATTGTTCCCACAAACTAAGAGATATTTGTTCACTCCTTGTATCAATGGTCTTGATTTGATTATACACTCAGGCAATATGCAAGCAGTGCTCATGTTTGCAGTGAAGTCAGCACTCTGCACAATCAAATAATTCTTGAGCTGGGCAACTGGAAAAAAGGGTCATTATGTGTGGAGCAATCACTGTTTCATGGCTCATTTCCTTCGCTGTGATTTGATTCCGCTTGTCAGTGTTAAGGTTGCCTTTGACCTCTGGCTTTTCCCTCAAATCTTACTTTTGCATTTATGTGTATCAACATTAGAGTTTTAGATCATTAATGAAAACTCCGTCTAGCTTAGCTTTCCCTCGTCTTCTTTTTGTTTTGTGGACTTTAAAACAAGCTTATACATGACTGCTATGTTTTTATTGGCTTAAAATGTTTAAATGATGCAATCATATAAACATTTATAGCTTCAAGGATGTGCTTATTAAATGGTATTATTTGCTTTAACTGTGGCTGTAGAGCTCTCCGCAGCTTTTATTGGCCTAATTGCACAGTGGTTACAGGATGTTTTATTTACAAGCAGGGGTCCGAGCACAAAAATAATACTTCATTTTAGTGTTCTCACACTGGCCAGACCTGTTAAAAGTGACAGACTGAGTTATGACTTGTTTTCTGAATAACAGTTTTTGGACTCATTTACAACAAATAAAAAGTAATGTCGACGTACGAGAGGTCCTTTTCAGAAAACCAATTAATTAGATTTGACATGTAACATCTTAATTTGGAAAGTAAATTCAGCCAAAATGTAAAGTAGAATGTGTTCGATTTTCTTCTTAAATAACAACAATAACAAAAAAGCTATCACAAAATGGAAAAACCACAACTTCAAACTGCATTTTATGTAAAAAATAATCTTTATTTTCCAAATTTGGATTGAAAAATCGAATTAAATTAATCATTGTTGTTGTTACAACAGCAAGCATGACTTATGGGTCCATCCTCTGGATCATTACTAAAAAGATTTAAGGGTTATCTTTTTAATTCTTCTCTGATTATCAGGATCTAATGTGTCTCCAGAGAGTGCAGAAAGTATGAGATCAGATCCAGTCCCCATCACCTCTGATCCACCCTTATCAGATGTGCATCATGTGGAGCACAGACACAAACCACACGTATAGTCATAAAGCGCCAGTAATCCTTTGGGGTTAAGCACTTAAAGCGCCCTCCCCAGAGTCCCCTGTGTCTCTGGGTTGCACCACAGTTTTGGCCCGGTGATTGACAGCTCAACTGTTTTACTGTGCTGCAATGAGAGGTCTCCAGAGCCTATAGGTAATAACTAGTCTGCAGTGTTGACTAATACGTTTAGCGGTGACTCGCCGTCATCAAATGTCTTCCAGCTGTTTGAGTTCTGATGACAAATTCAGGTTTTCCGAGTTTGCTGAGCTTCCTTGAGAGACAAAGAAGGGATTTCCTCTGAAACAGACAGGCAGTGGCAGCACCAACAAATGGCTTGGTACTTTTATCAAATAGAAAGTCAGACTAAATATAAACGTATTTTCTGCAGCCTGAGCCAGCACCGCAAGAAAAGAGAAAGCAAGAGTTTAAAAAAAGAATCCTGGGACAACGAGAGTATAAAAAATATTGAATTTATTTTTTTAAGTATCCTTTTGGTCACATTTTAGTCATATTTTGGTCAAAGGGAAATATGTTTGTGATGTTCTCTTGGTACTTTTGTTACAGTTGACCACACACACACACACACACACACACACACACACACACACACACACACACACACACACACACACACACACACACACACACACACACACACACACACACACACACACACACACACACACACACACCATCTCTTCAGCAGTTTTGAATAAAACTGTTGCTGCTGAGGTATTTAAGCAGCCACCTGTTGTATGACGGGGGTTTTAATGTGCAGAGGTGTGTGGTAAGTGTCTGTAATTGTGTGTGAACGTAAGTGACTGGGACATGGGGGGGCTGTCCATCCTGCTGCACAATAAACAGTTTGTTTCCCAGGAGCACCCCTCATGTTCCTGTTGTTGGCTCCATCGCTGCTCACTGGGAAACGTCCTGGCCTCTATTGTCCAGGGGGTCGGGGGTCACAGGATGCTCCTAAAGGCCCAAAAGGGGAGGTAAGAGGTTGATAAAGAACCAAGCCCCCCCCCCCTCTCTCTCTATGCACGCAACCCTTAAAAAACAAAACATTAAAATTGCTTCTTTTTTCTCCTCTCTTGTCACAAAGTCTTTCATTCGAACTCCCAGTCATTATTAAGAGTTTCAGGAAATGGAATCAGGACAATGCTCGGACTGACTATTTCATTTTAAACATCCTGAGTACGTTTTTCATAGAGCTCTGTCACTGGCGTTCTTTGCATATCTTTCATAGAGTCCACAAGCTTTCCCACACAAAAATGGGAA